AGGTCTTCGTGGCGGCCATTGCGGCCTACCACGCCCCTCTCCACGCCCCTCTCGTGTGACCATCAGCGGCTCTACCTCTGCTCATAGCTCTCTCGCCTCCACCGTCACCCGTCGATTCACCAGCTCCACCGGGCTCCCTCGTCCCTCCGGCTCCGCCTTGGTCAGGCGTCGACCCGCCATCGCCTCTGGACTCCTCTGGCTGTGCCTCGTCGCTCTGTCCCACCGGCTCCGTTGGGCTCCTTCCTCCCGCCAGCTCCACCTTGGTCCTCAGTCGCTCCGGCTCCTCCGCGGATCTCCGGATCTCCGCCTCCGCCTCGGTCGTCAGAGCCCTCGGCTCCACCCTGGCCCCCCGGATCCTCGGCATCCCCCTGGCTCGTTGGCTCTCCGTCTCCGCCTCGGGCTCCTCCACGACCTGCTCCGCCGCCGTTGGTCGGCGCCTTGGAGTGCCTCCATTCCTCCTCCATGGCTCCTCCCTCCGACGGCTCCACCGTGGGCCGTCATTATGGCTGTGGCCTGGGTCCAGCTAGACTCCTCCTGCTCCAAGTTCCTCTTGTCTCCTCCCTTGCTCCTCCCTCCTTCGTCGCCTCCCTGGTCTCTCTATGCCGGCCCCCTCCCGGGTGTTAGTCCCCCTCCTGAGCCTCCTCCTTAGTTCCCCCCCATTCCCCCCCTCTCTGTTGTTCTATGGTGCGAGGACACACCTTCCGGGAGGGGGGCGATATGTCAGGTCTACTCGTTCTGTATGTGTGTTGGCTCAAGCTCCCATTGTGGATTATCTCCTTGTGTTAATTTGATTCCACCTGTGTCTTCCCAATTATCCCATGTATTTAGCCCCTGTCTGTGCAGTCTGTGTTTGTCGGTTCTGAACGTCGTTGTGCTACGTGTTACTCCTGGCTACCCTGTGTTTCCTCCTGTGGATCATTAAAGACTGTTCTGTGTGTAATCCCTCGTTTCCTCGTTCCTCGCTCCTAACAGCAGGCAAGTGTGACAGTTAGACTCATATAGACATACTTTTCTACCGACATGAATGTGACCAAATGTAAATTTTTGTTTTTAAGTCCTATTAGGCAGCAAGTTTATCTAAAAATTATGTAGCACAATGTGCCGTTGAAAGAGGAAATTCATTAATTCATTCAATCAGTCATCAATCAATCAGTCACTGATGGTGCACAAACGTGTGTAGAAATAATAATTTTATTTTCTGTCTGTCCAAAACTAGTAAGTACAGACAAAACAGTTCTGCTCTTGCATATCTAGGTTACTCATTACTAGTGTCTCAAACAAAGCTCATTTTATTATTTATTTATTGATTTTTTTTTCCGGCCAGCCAATAAGCTTGTGTGTATAATATGCATCAGATGATTGCTGAAGGAACTGTGGATGTGCCAACTGCCAAATGATGCTGAGACTAAAATCAAGCAGACCTTTTAATTATAAAATGCCTTTACCAACACTGTTCCTTTGAGGAAACTACTAAAACACTTAATATTAAGTAACAGTTTTAAGTTTTGTTAATGTTACACTTCAGTAGCCTAAAGAATGCACAGTCATGAAGTGCAATTCAAGGCGTTAAATTTGTTCTTACATAAAATCATTTTGATTAAAACTATTCTGTTGCCAATTAATAGCTATTAATATGATGATTTGGTGTGCCACCCTTTTAACATCAATAATATTTAATTTATTGATGTTGTATCAGAAATTGAAGGAAATATTTTTATTTAGCAAAGTCTATTTTACTGAATGCATTTGTTCTGGTTAACGTCATGCAGCTGTGCTAGACCAACTTCCATAACCAATTAAACCAATATTCCAGTTTAGAAATACAAATAAAGCAGCTGGCACATAATAATACAAAAGATAATATATAATAATAACAAATATAATATATAATCATAAAAATAGATTAAAGGGGTCATATGATGCGATTTAAATTTGTCCTTTCTCTTTGGAGTGTTACAAGCTCTTAGTGCATAAAGAAGATCTGTAAAGTTGCAAAGACTAAAGTCTCAAATCCAAAGAGATATTCTTTATAAAAGTTAAGAGTCAACCACGCCTACGTAAAACGGCTCGTTCTAACATGCCCCCACATGTCTACATCACGATGTGGGAAGATTTTCATAACGCTGCCCAAATGTTCACGCAAAGAAAGAAGGCGTAACTTTTATTCTCGCTGTAGTATTGTTGTTGCCACCGCCGCCATGTTGTGAAGGCACTGTGTATTTCGTTGTGAAAGCGAAACTACTTGCCGCAAACCTGCCCGCCACGCCGTTCTCAAGCCCACCAGCCGCCGCTCACTCAAGCTGGCCTGCACTCACTCTAGCCCCCGGCCTCTGCTCACTCTAGGCCTCCAGCCTCCGCTGTCTCTAGCCCGCCGTGTGTGACGCTGTGTTTCGTTGTGAAAGCGAAACTACTTTGTTTTGCCTTCCAAAAGAGGACACGACTAGAAATCAGTGGTTAAGTTGCATTTACAACACTGTTCCAGAACAGTTCAACCCAAATATTCCGATGTGTCCAGCGCATTTTATGGAGGACTGTTTCCTGATCCTGGTAGAGTGCAACTTGGTGAAAAATTGTAGAGTGCGACTACAATGCCGGCTGTTCTGACTCACAGACTGTAAGTAAGTTTTTTTATATATAAAGAATTTGCCACTGACCATTCAAACGCGAGTTTTGAGCAGTGTAGAGTAGCGTTTGCAGTTTGTCATTTCTCCGATCACAAATGCAGACATGGTTTTATGTTTACGCGGCGTGATGCAATGCAACGCGTAAAAAGACAGTATAAGTCATTATAATCCCTAATTATGTCCCTACTGGATGCAACAAATGCCTCGTTTATAATGTTTTTTTAAAATGTTTTTGTCTCGTCGCTCCGGCAGGGACAAGGCATCACAATATGGCAAGGGGCGTAACATTTCCATCACACGCTTGAGGTATTCGGCCAATCAAAACGCACTGGATAGCTGGCCAATCAGAGCACACCTCGCTTTTCAGACTAATGAGCTTTTTAAAAATCGACGCATTTCAGAAAGGCGGGGCATAGAGGAGAAACAATAATGTACAGTATGTGGAAAATAATGTGTTTTTTTAACCTTAAACCGCATAAACATATTTCATTACACCAAATAAACAAAATAATCTTATTTTTAGCAACATCATATGACCCCTTTAAATAGAGTCAAACATATGGCCCCTTTAAAACATGGGAAATGATGTGGATGTAAAGATGGTCAATGCTGCACCTGCTGTGAAGTCATCCATGAACTTAATGTGATTTTGGCCAGTAATTGAACTCAGAGGGATGTCACAAAGTGAGGCTGTGTGAACACAAACTCACTGTGGCTTAGGAGGAACAAGAGAGTGGGGAGGGGAGAAACATGGGACATGCTTTGACCTTTCTTTGCTTTTTATTGGAAATAGCCTTGAGCTTACCATCACTAAATCCCCTGTCAGCTCTACAGGAATAGATATTCCACCTGTGAGTGCAATCTTTACTGGCATTCTGATGAACACTGTACACTCTGGCTGTACTGAATGGGAACATTCCATTGCTTTTCTCTTTAATAGGTTATTTGGTAGGGTTTGTTCTTAGAAAGGAACATTCTATTATTGACCCTTTTTAGTCATTCACTGTATAAAAGTTCAGAAGTTTGAGATCAGTAAGATTTTAAATGCATATTAGAATGATATTACATTGCATATTAGAATATATCACAATATTACTTTTTTCTGTATTTTTCTGTAATTTTTCTGCCTTGATGAGCATAAGAGACTTCTTAATAAAAAATAAAAAAAATAATAATATATCTTTAATATATATATAATGACAATGACATAATTTTATGATAAATTAGCACACTGCATCCAGGTGTTTTTTAGTTTTCATTGTTTTTATTGTTTATCAGCTTAATTTCAAGGCATTACACAATAATGATAATTAAATAATTGTGCTTAATGTGTTTAATTGTCACAATAATGATAACCTTAAAAAAAAGTTTTATTTGCTTTAAATATAATATAATTTCCTATTTGTTTCATTTGAGCTTTGTGAAATTTGACCAAGACAACTCACATACATGTTTGAGTGTTTTGGTATTCATAAGCGTTCGGTAATGAGGCAGTGCATCTGGTGAAATCCTTCTGATACGCTATCTTGAACACGCACCAGTCAACTACCACACAAAATATGTCTCATTTTGTTTCCTCATCTTTTTTTTGTGTGTTTTGTCTTCTCTTGCATGCTCTCACTTTCATGCAGTAAGCCAAGGTGGGATGGCTGCAGACATTTGTCCAGATCCGGGGATTCCCGAGAATGGGAAAAGAATTGGCTCCAGCTTCCAGTAGGTCCTCTTTTTCTTCTCTTATCTGTTGCGCTTGTCATTTTTAACTGCATGACACAGCTTTAATCAGGCCTGGGCCTGGGTCACTGCTACTAAGTGGGTTTCTAATGCCCCTACAGAAAGAACCAAGGGCCATTACATGTTCTGCATTTAATGGAATACGATGTGGGGGAATCTGAAAATAGAAGAGACAAGCGGTTTATAGACGTTTGACAGAAACTGCTTTCATCTAATAAAAGAAGGATGTGTAAGAGACATATAGAGGGTCTGGGGTTGATGGTGTGACTCATGTAGCTGGTCAATCGCTGACGGTCATTTAAACTTTGGCAGGGTTGGAGCCAGCATCCAGTTTTCCTGCGACGACAGCTACGTACTGCAGGGATCAAAGAGCATCACTTGCCAGAGAGTGACTGAGACCCTGGCGGCCTGGAGTGACCACAGGCCTATCTGTCGGAGTAAGTGCAAATATGGCTCAGACACTTTCTGTAGGGACGTTGTCAGATCCTGTTAAGTGACATGTGTACCACATGGCAGTAGGGAGTAAGGCCACACAATTCGTAGGAATGGTTGTGCCACACGGATTTAACAAAGACAAAACTGGCACACGTGAATATATCAAAGAACATGTCTGGATTTCAATTATGCATTTAGAGTTTTCTTGACGACTGTAGCACTGTTCCAAAATTGAGTGTGCTCTCTATAGGCAAAAAGGCGGTTTCAAAAGGTAGACAGCATTATAAGAAATAGAATCTCTTACATTGTTAGTCAGCAGAGAAGATAATCCCATAATGCACTGTGACAATCTTAGTAGAAAAAAAACACTTACAACCACATCAACAACCAGACATTAGAGTATTAACTCTTTCCCCGCCAGCATTTTTGAAAAAAGTTGCCAGATATTTGAATATGCAATACACCAAAATAAAAATCAGAGCCTCTACTTTTAAAGAAACAAAAAAAAAAATCTGTTTTATTCTAGCTTAAAGCATTCTTTTTTTATCAACACTTGAATATAGGTAGGTTTCATAAAAATGCATAATTTTGAGCAAAAAGGTGAGAAAATCAAATTTTTATCAAAAACTACATCTGGGTAATATTCAGTACGATTATCAAAGCATAAATCCAGTAAATCGCTTCTATCAACACCTCCAAAGCTTGCACAGACATATACCACTTCCTGGATCAACATTTTACTCCGTAACATTATGCAGTTTTCATTTATATGCTGCCATTGCTGATGATCGCATTCTTTTTCATATGCATCTGTTTACATAAGAGATCGCTTGTTTCTCCGTCCTGTTCACGTGTGTTTTTGTTCGGGAGATTTTGTACTCATTCAGAAGATGTGTAATAGCGCCCCCTAGTGTATAACAGTGAAAACACGAAAAGCCGTAAAAATTTGTCTTTGGCGGGGAAGCGTTGTCTTCTAAAAGACGAGATTACTCCTCAATGGCGGGGAAAGAGTTAATAGACTTTACTAATAGACTAATAGATTTGACCCAGTGTTGGTGTATGTTTTGTTTATTATTTTTATTGTTAGCTTAGCAACATACTAACATCACACTAGGTGTGTCACAATTCGCGTGTAGTATGTTCCCACTGAAAATTCCAGGTTCTATTCCAAACTAAATACTTATCAGACTCTGATGTTAGATGACAAACTAGCCTTATAAAATGAATACACTAGACAGCTTAGTACATATTGCATATTATACAAGTGTATAGTATCATTTGGGACACAGCTACTCTGATGAAAACAATGTGGGAGTCGAATCCCACAAATTGCAAATCGGTCACCTATGAGGCTCTATTTCAGAAAGTATCAGTTAGAAGGTAGTAAAGAGCAGGACAGTGTATTAGGTTTTCGAACAGAGGTATCGTGTAAAAATCACTGCAACACTAGTTAGCATCCAGAAGCAGATTTTGGGTATGAACTGAAACGTTGGTCTTCAAATAAAATTGCTATCTGCAGGATATTTAAGGTCATATTTAAGACTTGCATGATTTACAGTTCAGATACAGATTTTCACAAAAACAAAAAGTTTTATAAAATGATAAACTTCACATTTCAGCCTTTAAACAATTTTTTTAAAGAAAATGGTCAAAAGTATCAATTTTGATATTAATTTAATCAATTATTATCAATCAATTATTAGATTAATTAATTGTTTATTAATTATCTTAATTGTTTACATTTTTATAATGCATTATCTACTTGTCGATCCAGCAGTTCACATTTACAACTCTGCGTGTTTGCGGCATAAAAACATGGGTTGATTTTCACATTGATCTGAACAAAAACAGCAGACGTGCTTATTGAAAATGCACATGCATTCTCTGCCAGCAAGTGCAACTTTTGGAACGGCAGAAATAATATGGTTACCCCGGTAATCACAGTAGACAAAGCAGCACAGCAAACGCTTTATTTATTCAATAAAATCATAGCCTTTTGAAGTTTAATTGTCACATTAAGTCGTATCGCAATTCTTGTTTTACCCTCCCCAAATTTAAGTCCTTCTGAAATCATAATTAAAACTTTTGTGTACCATTTAAGACTTTTTATGGCCTTAAATTTGATACAACTTAATTTAAGACTATATAAGACTTTTTAAGGACCTGTCAACTTTCATAATTTTTGAGAAAGCCATTGTTTGTCACTCACTGAAAGTTTAATCTGTCTGCACGCTGCTCTCCGTCTGAACGTATAGCAACAGTTAACATTAGCAAAGCCACTATGAATGAATAAATGAATGAATGAATGATGCATTTATATAGCGCTTTATTGTGTATTGTTGTACACCCAAAGCGCTTTACAATCATGTTGGGGGTCTCTCCTCAACCACCACCAGTGTGCAGCATCCACTTGGATAATGCGACAGCAGCCACAGGACAATGGCGCCAGTGCGCTCACCACACACCAGCTACAGGTGGAGAGGAGAGAAAGTCATAGAGCCAATCAAGTGGTTGGGGATTATTAGGAGGCCATGATTGACAAGGGCCAGGGGGGCAATTTGGCCAGGACACCGGGGTTACACCCCTACTCTTTACGCAAAGTGCCATGGGATTTTTAATGACCACAGAGAGTCAGGACCTAGGTCTCATCCGAAAGACGGTGCTTTTTGACAGTATAGTGTCCCCATCACTATATTGGGGTGTTAGCACCCACACAGACCACAGGGTGAGCACCCCCTGCTGGCCTCACTAACACCTCTTCCAACAGCAACCTAGTTTTCCCAGGAGGTCTCCCATCCAGGTACTGACCAGGCTCAACCCTGCTTAGTTTCAGTGGGCAATCAGTCTTGGGCTGCAGGGTAAAGCCTGCAACACTAGAAGGCAAGCCTGCAACCTTTAGCCAAAAAAGCGTAACGGCTAATGCTAACGCTTCCACTTTGGCAGTACGCGGGAAAGGAGACCAGAGGACTTTTTTTTTTTTTTTTTAACCTGATGTCAATGGAGGAGAGGCTTCACAACGCTGAATAAACAGCTTTTTAGAGGAAACAGCTTATAATTTAATGAATAGACAGCCTATCAGCTAATATTCAACATGTTTTACACTAAGCAATACTTTTGGATTGAACTATTTTTTGAGTTTACACCGAAAAGAATGCAGTTTTATAAGAGAAGTCACTGACTTTTTGCGACAGGTGGGATTCAGCTTACGGCACTTCTCATT